TTTTTTTATTGATAGGTGTTAGTGAAAAGCAATTGATCAATTAAAAATTTATACACTAGGAACTTGTGAACAAGCTAATAAAATATATGTGAAGGGTTCTCAATATTGTTTGATTTATTTTGCACTTCTAGCAGTATCTGGTGGTGGAGAATTACATCCAAAAGAATTGCAAGCTATTAAAAACATTGCAAAAAAAACTCGATATTAGTGATTAAGAATTCGAAGATATGTTCTTTGAGATGTTTGATAGAATTTGTTATATTAATGTGGAGAAGACATTCAAAATAATCATCGTATTTAGGTTTTTATTTAAATCCATATAACAAAATATCGATAGATGATGTAAAACCAATCTATCGTCTATACGATGGGAAAAAAACGAACAGAGAACAATCATGGAATTAAATCAAGTCTATATGTTGTTGAATTATCTGTTGACATCGATTATGTAAATCATCTATATCGAATAAATTATGGCGTTGTTTTTCAATTTCATTGAGATGATCGATAATAGTTGGATGTCGTTGTAATAAAATCTCGCTACGTTCTACGATTAATTCACCAGCAGAACTAACAGAAGCATATTGTTTTAATGCAGCATGTTCTTCTTTTGTACATTTTGATAATAATAACATGTAAATAATTGATAAACAATCATCAGCATAATAAGCTGAAACTTGTTTACCATGTGTTAATTCGTATTCAGTCAATACAGATGTGGATGCTGTTGTAAATGTTCCTTCATAATTACCTTGGAAACCATTATATGTCGATGAATCCCAATCAATTAAATAAATATCATCATTAAATAAGATTAAATTATATATTCGAATATCACGATGAACAAATCCAAGTTTCTGACCAATAGATAATTGTTTAAATAATTGATTAATATATTTCTTTTTGCATAAATCATTTTTGTTCATTAATTTTCCAACTGGTCTTGATAAAATAAAGCCTTGAATATTAAACATATGTATTATTTTAATATCTGATAATGAATGTTCATTTATGTAATTGTTCATTTTTTCAGCTATTTCATATTCTTTTGTTGATGTTTTATTTGAAATTTTCATGGCATATTGAATATTTTCATGTTCAATTTGATAAACTATACCATTTGCACCTCTTCCTAGAAAAAAGAAAAGTTTTAAAGACGGTATGAATGTTCAACTGCCGAATACAAATTAATTCTATTCTTCCGCCAATTACGGATTTCTATGAAATTAAAATAAATCTAACAANGTCAACATTCCGATCGTCGCGTTTAAAAAAGAGTTTGAATTTATCAATACTGTCTGTGTCGCGTTCCATTTGCCATAGTAGTTGACATGTACAAACCGATTTGGAATTGGATGTTGTCGTCGAATTTAATGCAAAATCATCCTCTGCCCAAAGACTTGATGAGTCACTTTCAAGATCCATCGTTTTCATTGATGCAACTGATTCATTCTTGTCTATAGTACCAGTTGTTAAATCAGCATTCGTCGATGAATTTGCTGCAAGCACACATTCTGGTGAATGTCGTGATGTAGACTTGAATTGATCCTCGTCTTTCATGTGTACTGCGGGATCTGTTGATCGTTTAACTGGACTTCTTTTAGGTAGTATGTCAGGCAGGTCGTCTAAAGTGTTTTGACTAGATAATTCCTTACGATATGGAGGAGGATTGTTGATTATAGCTGATTGAGGTGAACCGGATAATCGTCGGTTATGTGTCCAAGGACGTACATAAGCTGCTGAAGAACTCGATGCACGACGATCGTTGACGAGGAGATCACTAATACGCAAAGTGGATGATGTACCAGCAGTATTATTGAGTTCATTAGTTACAGGTAGATGATTTCCGAAACGAATACGATTGATAACCGAACGACGAAATAAAGGTGCACCCTCACTGTAACGATAGGATGAGATGTCACCCTTTGATGTTGATGAGCCAAAATGACAACGAATATCGGTGTTCGTTGCAAATGCGCTAAAATAAATCGGTGATTGTAATAAAAAAGCTCTCACGACTTTACTGGGCTCGAGTATGTTTACCTTCGTTGGTTTTTTTCAGGTTTGAAGATAATTAAATACAGTTTTGGAAAGAATAAGAACACAAGTACAACGTATGCACTTGCATTTGTGGCAACACATAGTGAAAACACTTTGACATCAATCGTTACATAAACAGCAGCAAATGCTAACCATATAACACAAGTTGTATACATAGAAAAGCCGATAAATTTCGCTTCTAGATCAAACAGACAATAGAAATCAAAAACATCAAATCTACTCATAGTTGTGCAATTCACCATTGAAATTCTCAGGCAAATTCCTTGTTTTTATCTATATAGAAGAAAAATTGGACAGGGAGATCGGAAATGATAAAACTTACTGCATAAAGTGTACATAGAAAAACTAACACACCGTCGAAACCAAGTGGAGCAACAATACCCGGAATGGAATTCTTGCCTAAGAGAGCAAAAACGGCACTATCTATTATACGTTCTAGCGATTCGTAAAAACTTTACATGTCAGTAGCAAACGACCACCAGTTTCAATGAGTTCTGCTGTCGGCGGATCGCGATAGACAGTTGCGGCTAGAATGAAAGAAGAGCAATTGTGTGTTTAGAGAGAAATGTGAGTACAAACCAACGATGATGATTTCAGTAACGATTATCAGACAAGCGATAGCAAGTTGATGCCGTGCACCCATAAACTTCAGTCGTTTTGTGATGATTTTCTTTTTACTGCGTGCTAGAAGTCGTGCAATTCGATTGGTTTTCGTCACCAGCGAGCCGTAGATCATGGAAAACGATATTCCTGGGAGCAGACGCGTTAAAACACAGGTGATAAATGATGGCTTTTGCAGAATAATAAACGCAGTTAAATGACAGAATAGAATTCCTGTTAAAATCAAATAACTTAATTCGCGTGTGGTGGATTTAACAACTGGTGTCGCGTTGAAACGTATAAATATATAAAGAACAAATAAGCTTATTAAGATACCGATCGCAGCACCGAAACATATGATAATTGACAATGGATGACGAAAGTTAATTGTTGTGATTGGCAAGAGATCACAAGCTAAAGGTTTCTCAGTTATGAACGATGGGAAAATTAGAATGTGTTGATTACCTGTTTGATCACTATTCGGGGCAAATCCGGCAGGACAAGTAAAGCAAGTCGTTTCATCGAGAACGATCGCATTATCGCATGGGTGACATTTCCAACAGCAATGTTTGTCATCGATAAATTTCTACGGCAAATGATATTATCAATATTAATACCGAAAAAATGTGAACTAAATAACGAACTTTGATATGACCTAATGGACAAGCTTCACTACAGTACTGATGTATACTGATTTGGTTGATTGAATACTGGTCCGCGAAGAATCGAATGGAGGATGTATTTAAACTCAATTTTCCTGTATTCCACGTTCCAATTTGTACATAGTGAAGAGGATGTTCGACGTCGTCGCTATTGTATTGCAAATTCAATATGTCGTATCTAAACTACTAAAATTATGTTTGAATGAATCCAACTGTTCTGACCTTCCAGGACCATCGCCATTTTCATCGAAAAACACCTCCTCACCTAGAAAACATCGAGATTTTGTACTTCACCACATGTTTTCATACTTACCAGTTATGCCAGTAAATCGACTACTTGTTACGAACTGCATCAAAAGGGATGTGTTCATACGAGTCATTTCAGCACATAATCCACTTGTACCGTTACAAATCTATCATTTTTCATCTGACATAAACAATCAGCGAACTGTTTGTATTACATACTTGTTTATGCATTTTATCCAGTCCGTGTACCACAGCTAGAATCGAATTAATGACGAATGCAAGTTTGGGATCTTCATTGTAAGGTACACGAGTAAGACTTTCTTGTTCGGGACGACATTGACGAGCGTAAGTTTTTCGACTATTCGTATTATTGTAATTAGTAAGTCCACAATCAAACTTGTGTTGCCAGTATTCAGTGAACCAGACGTTTCGTGTATTATTATAAACATGCAATCGACGAAAATATTGTTCAAAGCCTGGTACCCGTAACGAACGAGCTTTGATCTAAAGATAAAGCATGAGGAATAAAATGATCTATCATCTCGAACTCTCTCGTTTACCGTAATAGCACCTAATGCAACGTTTTCCGTGTTATTTGGTATTACATTTAAACGATCGGCCCATGCATCACTAATTCACAAGGCAAAACTGAGAATAGATCCTTACGTTTGTTGAGAATTACCTTCCAAGAATAACGAATCGTTTTGTGTAATTCAACTGACTAATCGCTTGTAATATAGCACGTATGGAATGATCAAGACAAAAACAGATTAGCACTTGAACTCGGGGTGCTCGAATGATCAGTTGTTGAATTAGTTGGATGGCTACTGATACATTTGCACCAATTGGCTAAATTACAGAAAAAAAGACGAAATGGAAATGAATCGATCGCTGATTATTTCAGTTTACCATAGTGAAATCAGCACCAATACATGCATCTTTGTTTAATAGACGACGGATAGCTTCGACTCCACCACGACCATAATCACCTTCGGTACCGATTGTAGCCACGTAATTCCATTTGAATTGTTCAATAATATTAACAATTGCTTGTGCTTGCTGTGTATCCGATGCAATAACTCGTATGAAATATTTGAACTTTTCCTTGTCGCTCAATTGCCGTGCAGTGGATGAATATCCTATCTGTGGCATTTCAAATAGTTGTAAGATATTATGCGTTTGCATGGTGATCGAACTATCGCCAGGCCCAATGATTGCTGCCAACCGTGATCGACCATTCTTCGTATTCAAAGTTGGATCACCGATCGTTAAAACGGATTTACCGATGAATTCGATAGTCTGCTCTAGTGCAACAGGTGCATACCAACACGAATCACGAATCTGATAACCAACAGTTATATTCGGTAGGATGGATTGATTGGCATTGACTGAAAATATCGTCAACGAACGTTACTTTGCATTAGAAACAACCGATGCATGTTACTTTACTTTGATCGAGAATCCAAAATGTTCCTTCGACACGATGTATACCGTAATCTTCGCGAATATCTCCACTGAAATATTTGATTTGCTTTCTCTCGCTACGATTAACCCGACAAGCTACGCTTACCATTCTCGTAAACGGCCACCACCGTGCGACACTGGCGGATTGTGTAAGGAGAAGAAAGCACCGATGACAATAGGAGCTTCGGATGTTGGTGAAACAGCTACGAATACGAAAAACAAACGAGGAATACCATCGAAATAAGATCATTCTATTGTACCTGATAGACGATTAAAATAACACATGACAACATTGGAATGTGGACTGATCATGAGTAGACATATACTACTGATGGCTCCAATTAGAATACGATTCAAACTGTAAGAAGGAAGTAAAGAGATTCGTTCGAACATGGATAAAATGATAATAATCGGACGAGAAACAAGTATCAAGAAGAGAAATATTCAAGCTGCCATAGAATACCGAAAATTTGGATTTGATTAAGAAAGGAATACACTCGAATTCAAATAAGATTTGAGTGCGACGAGCCATTCCAATCTTTCATTGTTCTCCAAAAGAGTATTGAAATTCTTTCAAATCAATGTATCCATAACAGATAGAATTGTCATGATGTATTTCTTTCCTTTTCCTTCTGCCGCATATGATAGTAATGTTGACTGATTACTGTTGTAAACTGCTACATTTTTCCTTCTCTTGTGCTCAGATAAACGATCGTTTTTCTTCCGCTAAGTTATTCTTGGTCTGTCTTGTCGTTCAATCGAATGAACACTAAGACTTGTTATCTTCATTGAATTAAGTTAATCTGGACTTCTTTCTCTTTCTTCGATCTCAGTCGTGCTCGCGTTTTTTCCTCCTCCATCTTCTGCAGGAAAAACATACAGATGACATCGAATCAGCACAAAACGTTTTCCTGCAGCCCAATGATCTTTCAACAAAACAATTCATGACAAAACTAGAAATTTTGAGTGGAGATTAATAAGATTCTCTATTTGATCCGCTGATGGTCTTATTGACCTCACATCAATCTCCAACAGAAGTACAGGCAGAAGTCAATTGTACTTGTATAACTCTATATTAGTCCAACGCATAAGTAACGACTGCTGAATACGATAGAGAACATTCGTTCAGATAGATAATTCTATATCCTGGATTTTAATAATAACATTAAAGAAGATCAACTGAGTTAAACATCGAACTACAAGTTTCCTACGAGAGGAATTCAACTATGAACATGCATCGGCATGAGAGATAGCACAACTCAAGTCATTTTTTTTCTTTTGTGTATAATTGTATACTTTGAGTTTAAACACCGGACTTGAACTATTAGAACCATTTAGCAAAATGCTTTTATCAAGAAAACGTAAGTCTATAGTTATGGATGATTTGGCCTTCGATGACTTGTGTTTTTTTCTTTAACTATAAAAACAACTCAACAAGACATTTAAATGTTGAGTTCATTTCGAGATATGCGTCCGTATCTATCTGCTTGTTTTCTTATTGCATATGTGGCACTTGTCGAAAGCGCTTGTCAACAACCTCGTCGATTCTATGTAGACTGTGGTGCTACACGATCATTACAGAATTCCGCAAATTTATGTGCGAAATATGGCATGACTTTACTAAATCTAACCAATTCATCGACTATTGTCAGCCAAGTCCTCGATCTTAATCAAACCCTCTATTCAATTAATTGCAATTCTCTGTTTTGGTTTTCATCCGGAAACAAAACAGGAATACTGGCAAATGCTGAATCACTTGGCGCAGTTCTGACTAGTCTTCTTACCGGTCTTGGTGATTTACTCGGTGGAGTACTGAACCTCGTTGGTACTCTACTGTGCAGTCTACTTTTCGTTCCCTGTCCAACAACAACAACACCTGCACCCATTACCCAAGCGATAACCGTTTGCGTTCGACCGATACAACAGAGGGTGATACAAAAATGCTTGACTCAAACAGCACGAGCAGACATGAAAACATTTCAATTCAATGAACAGCCCATGTACGGCGGAGTTATAGACACTTTTGCATCAAGAAGTCGGATGACATGCAGCGGCGTATGTTCATCTATGAATGAATGCATCGGTATATCGTACATCAATGGCATCTGTAGTCTTTACATGTAATGATGAATATTTTCTTAATCTCAATAAATATACTTCAAAAGTACGTTCACTCGTTACGTACATCATGTATGCACTAGTGATTTCCAAACATAAAAAAGCACGATGTTTTTTCTAACACACTTTACAAACCCTTAGCAGCAATGAATTGCAATTATATTAAATATAATGTTTTTTTAAACTGGAGGGATCCTTATTTGATGCCTACCATCGCAAGGTATGATCAATATAATATTGAAAATATGTCTTTCTCTTGTCATACACTTCCTCATCCGATTCAGATGTGAATTGACAAGTAAGACGTTATTCATAATCAGTTAATGTATTCTGCAGCACTGGAAAACCTCGTTACTAAAACGACGAGTACTTGTGATGAAAAATCCGGCATGTAAGTATGATTTTTCTGCTCCTTTTATATCTCTCAAGCAATACAGAAATAGCTGTGTCGCATATCTATCGGAAATGAATTTTTAGTTTCATAAACAATCATCTGTTACACTGTCATTCGAACTTTTATATGTGAAGTGAGGACATTCATGGAATATCACAAACTTTCAATCAAGAACGGCGTATAAATTCGCGAAAGTAAATTGGAACATCATATCAGAATAAAATTCTACTCAAAGCAATGTTCTGGTTCGTATTCATTCTTTGTCTTGTCGGTCGCTTTCAATTCGTAGAATCGGCTTGTTCTCCACCGATTAAATTCTACGTTGATTGTGCTAGAGTACGAACAGCAAATGCAGCTAGTCAATTTTGTTTAAGTCATGGAATGACTCTTGTGAACTTCACCAATGGAACGGGATCATTAGCAAGTGATGTATCACTTCTGAATACAACATTTATAGCAGATAGTTGTGTTGGCAATTTTTGGTATTCATCGGGTTCACGCACTGGACTAGTTGCCAGCACAAATGAACTCGATAATTTACTTGGCGCTTTGACGAACTTACTTGGAAGCGTTCTCTGTCTTATACCTTTTTTGTGTCCAGCGGTAACAACAGCTGCACCTATTCTCAATGCTTACACAGTATGCACTCGACCAATTCACCAAAATGTGATACGGAAATGTTTAAGTGGTGTGCAACGTGAGGATATGCAACAATTTCGATACCGCACACAAAGTATGTATGCCGGTGTATTGGACACATTTTCTTCAAGAACCATAGCCGCATGCAGTGGTTCATGCTCATCGAATAATGCGTGTGTGGGAATTTCCTACAGTAACGGTATTTGTACTCTTTATATGTAAACAAATGTGTTGTGTGTTGTGTTAAATAAAACAAAATCAAGTTTTGTCGTAGGGAGAAATTCGAACTTTCCTTTTTGATTACATTAGTGCATTTGTATATAGAGTATGTGAAAAGACACAGCTGTCACATGGCTTTTGTATTCCCGTTTCAGTTTTGGACAGAAAGATATGCAGATAGCAAACGTGTTCTTGACTTATTCACATCAAGTTTTTTAATTATGCGAAAGAAAGGCAACTAGGATCAAGAAAACACTCGAACTGCTTTGGTATTGAACTCTTCTGTTTGCTATGATAAATTCTAAGACGGATATATCTAACCCGCTATAATTGTTGCAGGAAATTGCAAACATACGTAATTTTGCTTTTGATCATCAGCGACGACCTCTATTTTGACGTAGAGTGAAAGCGATGGATAGGATTGTAATACTGGAACTGCAAAAGATCCCACATTCACATCGGATTGAGCAACTGGACATTTGACACCAAGATTGCAAGCATTACTGTCCGGAATTGGAAATGGAACCGGAATACCACCGATGATGCCTTCAAAAAACATTCGTAAAAATACAGACTCGATTACTAACGAGACAATTCTCATACCGTGTAAGGAAACTGTTGCAGATTTTGATGCTTCCTTTGCTTGAAAAGTCAAATTCATCGCATACGTATGACCTTTGATGAACTTGCATGGAGCTGCCGCGCAATCAGTGACTTCGAAGGCTTGAACAGTAGCAAGTGTAGATCCACAATCTTTGTATGGAGTGGCGCTCCAGACAAAATTTGCTGAGCAAAATAAGAGACTCACAATAAACCAGGCGAACATATTTGCTTAGGCTGATATACCACGAAAAGACTAACAATTGTGTTATATACATCTGTGAGGAAAAACAGGTGATGCCTGTTCTCATCTCTATCCAGTGAATAGATTATTCTGCTTGGTTTCTTGTTGTTTTATTTGCCATACGATTTCGTATTATCCGAAGATTTTCAATAACAACAAAACTAAGTTAACAAATATATAAAAACATATTCGAAACACTGCGCTGCATAGAAAAAGAAATGATGAAACAAGCGAAAAGGAAGAGAGTAGAACACAAAAAAGAATAAGAAATTCACAAACAACAAATAAGATAACTTAACAATGGTATATGTCGATTTCACATATACATATAGAGGTTAAACTCGCTAAATAACACAGTGAAATCTTTTTTCTTTGTTCTTTGAAGACACACTTAGTCTGAAAGGAAGTTTTTCACGATTCATCTGACAATCGTCGATCAACTATGATAGTGATACACATCGAGTCATCCAGATTCTACTACATGACATCACTACGCTTCTCAAAAACACGACACTCACATCAGATCATTAGTATAAACAAACTATTGAGTAGCACGAAATCGAATCAGTAGGAAAATATAAAAACAAAGAACGATACATCAAATCAAACAGAGAACGATGCAAAACATACACACAGAATCTACATTTGTGAATGAGTAGGTGTTTGCTAGACGAGTACATCTCACTGTTAATAACAAGAAAAATATAAAAAAAGGACACCGGACCAATGTTTCTAACATTCGAACTGAGTGATTTAAACGGCTGTTACTTGTTCTTGATCGTCATAATCGACAGATGATTCTTTGAAAGACACAAGACAATGTGTTGACAGTTGAGAGCGTTAAGAAAATGTCGAACTAACCTTGATCAAGAGTTACTTCAGTGTGAGATTTGGAACGTTGCAACCAAGTGCGTGTAAGTATCGATCCATGGACATCCTCATCAACAATAACAGCAGAGTTTATTTCTAAAAGCAGACGGAAGAATATCATTTAGATTTCATAGAAATGAAAACACAGCTTTTCGAATGTGTACCGGAATTCATTTGTGGTAATACAATTCGATTTCGATTCGTCATCATTGAATATCCATCACCAACTAAGTTAGCTGTTGATTTCTCATTACAGTGACCAAGCATAGCTACAATGTATGGTTAGTTAAACTATCGAGCCTTAGTAGTGAGCTATTTTTACATACATGTCTCACTTGATTTCAGAATATTGTCGTCTGAATGGCCATTTTTCAATAATTCATTATTGATTGGATTGTCGATTTCTAAATCGATATTTGTTTGTTCCGTTCATCGATGAAAGAAAACTTACTGAGATGTGATCGAATATACAAGACCGATGATGCTGGTTTCAAGTTCAGACTGGAACTTTCGCTTGTTAGCTTATTCGCATCGCGCATTTTCGCCACTTGATGATAACGGCGTTGCGTTAATTCGCTAGTCGATGTTAATCCAGTCAAGGTCACGGAATTATTTATCAAAGGTGATGTGCTTCGAAGTATAGGCGTCGTCTTTTGTGGAGCTCGAGATTTTATTTGATGATTGCTATCTGATAGCCGAAGTAATTTATTCACTGCATCGGGAGATTGTGTACCTAAAGGAAGAAAACAGTAGAGAATCTCATCATCTTCAAGCGGTCAGAAATGAAAACGTCAAACCATAAGACTATACAGTACAACAACATCTAAGTTACTGCTTACTACCTGAATAACTTTCTAAAGAGAAGAAAGGTTATTCCCTGTGGAGAGATCGTGAGTTACGTACCAAATTTGGTCAATTGAACTGATCCTCCACGGCGATCACAAGATGAATTCGAAGATAAACTGGAAGTTGATGGTGATGGACGGCGTTTAAGTGTACTTACTAAATCAAAAACGAAAATGCACAATCGTGTACTAAACTAATGAATCGACTAGGAAGATAATCATCAGCAATCACGAGCAAAAGGCAGCAGCAGCAGCAGTAAACAAAACGAACCGATGCTTCGAAATCAAGAGCTTAGAACCTTTTTCCTTTTCTTTTCGAACGAATATCATTTTGCAGAAGGAAATTTGTCGAAGCGACAATGTTTGTTGGTGTCGAATGAATTCTTGCGCGTGTTACTGCAATATTCAACTGAATATCATATCCAACTAACGATAGTCTTCTCATCGCTGTTGATAAATATCCTTCTCGAATGAAATAAATATGTAGAGCCATGCGTATGAAAGATGATATACATATGTGTGTGGATACCAAACCATGCTCATCTCGATACTGATAAAAAGCTTGTCTCACCGACCTTAAGTCCTTTTTGGTTTGTACGCTCAAAGAAATTGAAAAATTAGAATGCAAAATAAAAACAAGAGATGATTAGCTAGTATGGCTCACAAGTATATCTTCCAGAAGGAAAAAACTCGGACTAAGAAGTTGAGAAGAACCTAGCTTTTCTTCGTAAAGTACTAAAATGATTTGATTACTTACCAGGTTCACATTGGTTCGCTAATTCAAGTAGACGATCTTCATCTTCAATGATTTCGGCATTGTTCAAGTATGTTTTCACTTTTTTCACCATTAATGCCTGAAAAAAAAGAATTCAGTGTTTATAAAACGAATAGTATCCTTTTTACTTCATCGTAGATCCGTTTAGCATTAGCAGCAACCGATAGGCGCATGCCAGTCTGATTTCTTCGTATCGTTCCATACGAATCCATTGTTGATTGATGTCCAAAACCGGCAAAAATTTGAGAATGCGACGTCGGGGAATCAAACATGTTCGAAATATCCTACAAGTGAAAATCGAATTCGCACATCTCTTGGAAATCAATGTCCTTCTACTTACATAAGGTGATGAAGACATATTAACGATATATCGAATTTCTTTTGCGATCATACGGAGCTTTTCAAAATTAATCTAAAAGTCTCAATTATCTCCGAATAGGAATGAACAACGGTCTGAATCATACCAGATCATTATCCTGAGTTTGATTTCCTAAATGGATGAAAGTCAAATCCTTCATACACACTGGAAACATGGGGATCTATAAATATAATATCACGAAATAGAGGAAGTTATAGTAGAAAAAACAACAACTGACTATCGGCGGTACGACGAATTCATTCTTCAATAGATTTCGATAAACTGACATATTACGAGATATATCAAGTAAAGATTTGAGTTCCTAAAATTGAAACAGATAGTTGTGGAAAGCAATACGAACAACGAAAACTGCTTTACTTCAAATAATTTCTTGTACTTCTCCGGTACACGTTCCCATGTTGCTTGCAGTCGTTGTACAGTTTTATGATCGAGTCCACTGATAATTGCAAACATCGAATTAAAATTTTTCATGTCTTTACAACATTCTAAAAAGACATATCGTTTCGAATGGATAGTCTGTCCTGCAATACTCTTCTTACTTGCGATTTTGATGAAATGTTTCACGATTTTCGATCTTTGAATAAGATTTGTTTCACGTATAATCTCCGTGATCGTCCAGTACATCTCCTGATTGGGTAGTCGAAGGAATTTCTCGAGATGTGGTATCCCATACGCGGATTTCAACTTGAAAACATGATCAATATATTCAGTAGGTAAAATGGATTTGAAGATTGCAAAATCTCGTAATGTCAACTGAGCGCAGATTTCCAATGAATCCAATTGTAAAAAATGAATACGGGCTTCGCGTATTAATTCATTCGATAGATGATCTGGAACAAGTGTTTCAGTTAAATGGTTGTTTTTTAGATAATAGCGAGCATTGATTGGAAGACGCTCGGGAAGGTTGTCGATATTGTCAGGTAAACGCTTTTGTTTGATCACATTATTCTCGACGGAGACTTCACATAGCGAATAATACCTAGAAGAAAATCAACTGGATAAGAACCTGATCGTTACTGAAAAATCTTCAGTTTCGATAACGTATTTTGACACTTGCAATAAGTGCTTATAAACTAAGAAATTAGATTAGATACGGATCAATCATCTCCATCCCCTGAGCGTGATTTCTTACCGCAGCCGATCAAATTCTACAGAAGAGGGTGCATAGCTATAACAAAGCAAAATGAAGTTCAACTGGGAACAAGAGGGAGAGAGAGAGAGAGACAGTAACTAAAGTAGGAAAATATCGTGCTTTGTCAAAGTATATGTTACCTGCTTTGATCAACAATACTGAATTCCGTGATTGCCAACATGACAAGTTGTTTGGCTGTTGTGCCCTGAAAAAGAAAGTTTTTTGTTCAGAACGAAATTAATAAACATAAACGATGAACTCATACTTTAAGTACAGGAAAGTATTTAAAAGATTGATCACTACGATAGACTTTGACAACAAATGTAAGATTATCTTCATCAGTGATTGTTCCACTGAATGTTGATGTCGATGATGTAATTGATTTGTTACTAATCGACGACGATGATAAGTCTGGATTACTTGAACTTCGGTTAAGGCTTTTATTTGAATTGGACAATGACGAAACACTGGAATCCAGTACATTATCCGTTCCATTGATGTCAAACTCGCTAGAAATGAAACGTGAAAAATATCAAATCAATGTTGATTATAGTTGATTAGATAAGACTACATTTCTTTTTTCCAATTATATAATGATAAACATGTAACATTATTCAAACACGTTAGCCTCGATAACGGTTAATTGTATCATTAAAATGTTATCTATGCGATCAATCGGAAACTTTGTCGTTTTCGATTTCACTCAAAACAAGTAATCATCAGATGACTTTGCGGTATAAAATTCGCACTCGCGCAGATATTTTCGACCCAAAGTCGTCTTTTCGAACGCAGAGTTTATTTGTGTGTCTTCAACGATGAATCACCGTCAACAGCCATATGATTTTCTTTGGTGTTTACATAGTTTTCTTTTTCTACATTCCAGCCAATATTTTTCCTTTCTCCGGCACGTGACAGTCTCGTCTATTCCCTACCAAGCTTTGTCAGAATGCAAAAAAAAACAGACTAGAACAACACTCTGGTAGAAAAGAAATTGCATACGTTTGTTTTTTTTTGCATTCAGATATAATTTCGAGCATAGTTGACTGTTTTTCGCATCCTATGTTCGATGGTATTTAATATTCTAAACTATTCAAGTTTATTATACCGTCGACACCGACGGATATGAGTACAATTACCTTAGAACTAACCGATGCAAGTGCAAACGAAGCTTTGCATGTTCCTCTCCCAACAACGACCAATACATCCGAAGACAGTGAAGACGAAAGTCTTGAGAGTCATCGAAATTCGTCATCCAATATCAAATCGTTTGCTCAATGTTATATTCAACAACTGAAACTCGTTTTTCAATCTATCATACCCGATCTGAAATCATTTCAAACATGGCAAATACTTATTCTTCTACTCTATGCAACATTCAATGTTGTTTTCTCCTTTCTGGTAAAGAGCACCTACGATCGACTTTATTAACTTTCACTTTTCTCCTTTCGTTTTTCAAGGACTTCAATTCAATTATTTTCCGTGATCGACAACAGTCTCTATTCAGGTGGACCAACGAGTACAATCAAGGTACGTCGTTATGGAGGCGTGTCTTGCTCTCTTTCACGGGCATATCTGCTATAACAAATGTTCTAAATGTCGTTCTTGTTATTCGCGGTAAGATGTCGTCCTATTTCTGGGGTATCTTAGGCGCGATTTTCTATGGAACGTTTGCATTTGCCAACGGTTATGCCGGCGACGCTCAACTGTTCGTATTCTTTTTTCTACCTATGCAATTTGTTGGCATTCATATCTGGTCCAAAGAATTAGACACGAAATCGACAGCCCGTGTCAAATCATTGAAACTTTCCGGATGGCTACTCATCATCCTCTTAAGTTGTACTTTCATACTTCTGTTCTATTATGAAATTCCGATGTTTTCGAAATTGTTAACATCGAAATACTTATTTGAACAAACACCCGTACCGCACGTACTCGATGCTCTTACAAATGGATTGAGCGTCATGGGACAATTTCTGTGTATTGCTCGATACTGGGAACAGTATATTATCTGGACATTTGTTAATCTGGCGTTAATTGTCATGTACAGTGGTGAGCATGAATAGAAAGCAACTTTTTGATCGATGATATCGTTCGACATTCTCGACACTACGCTTAACTATGTATGTAAACGATAAAATCGATGTTTGTTTCGTTTAGGTTTCTTCGGAACGCATTTCGATATCAATTCAATCCTGATTTGGATCATGCTGACGGTAAATTCGTCTTGTGGGTTGTATACATGGTATCATCGATGGAAAATTTCTCAACATTCCTCAGCAAGATTAACAATCAAAGCCTGATTACCTGTTATTTTTTGTAATTTTCAATTTTTGCATTACAGCACGTTTCAAGCCCATACGTTTTGTTAGTGGACGAGGCTTAGATTTGTCGGCATTGCTTGGTATATTTTTTGTGGGAGTAACGATTGTTGTCAACGGTGATCGCGCCTGATGATGATAAGTTTCAGTTGGACTCATTGGTAGAATAGGTGATGTTGTTGTGGAATGGGAACGTATTGGTGATGAACCGTTTAGTTTATTTCGAATTTCTTGTTCATATAATGAAATGTCATGACGTTTCTTCCGAACGGGTGATTTTTCTGGATTGATGATTTCATTGAAACCTGAAATTAGAACGTTTTTTGCGATGTATTTTCCTTTCGTGTGATTACTACTAATAGAATAAATCATTGCCGTGTAAATTCTTACCCATCATATTGTTTTTAACTGTCAATGACAAATGGGTTGAACCACGAAGGATTTCCAATGCTCGAGCATGAGTTAAATAATCAAAGGGTTGACCATTGACATTGAGAATCTAAGAAAAGTAGTGTACATCTTACCAATGACATAATGTTTCTCTTTCTTTCATTCACGTACTTGATCACCTCGACGTAAACCGGCTTCATACGCTTTCGAATGACATTCAACCTTCGATACGAAGATTCCGTTATGTGTTACTGTGTCGCTACCGCCAAGTATATTAAAATTCAATACATCATCACGCGTCGAACGCGTTAGCGTTATGGTTCGTACACTCGCTCGTGTAAAACAAGCCAAATTGAGTAGGTATTTCCATGATCGCATACCCTGAAGAAAAATCGTCGAATATTTGTAATAGAAATCGATATTTTTTTTACTTCTCCGTCGTGATGTTGGAGTTCGTCATCGAATTTTTCGAGAAATTCATTTAATTGTGCGTTGGATTCGAAATCATTGTAGTGATTGTTAACCCATGATAGAATAACACGCGAGACATGTTCACAGATTGCTAAATTATTGCTTTTCTGGAAACATTCAAGTAATTTATTCAATACGATCGTTGGATCGTGGAGAAATGTTCGATAAGTAAGAAGAAAATCTTCAACAAAAGTCGGATCATCAAGTAATTGACGTTCGTCAGCGAGTAAATCAAGTAATTTTTCAACGGTTGCCTACAATAAAAATTCATTTTCCTTGCTCACACAAATTTTCCTTTACCTTGATGACAATTTCTCGAGGCATTCGATGTTCGTCATCATCAATACGTTTTTCTTTCATCATCACAATTTTACCGTTCTCTTCAATTTTTCGAACATCTTTTTCACCCTAAAGCCGTGATCGGTAAATGATTCGATCAGAGAAAGTTCATCAATCCTTACTTGATTCAATATTGCATAATAATCATTTTGTGCCACGACAACAAATTGACAATCATCAACACGTGTTTTCATAATACCTTTATGACAATATTGATCCAGTGTAGGACCACATCCAAAACTTTGTCCAACAGTTAATGTTCGTATTGGTTCACCCGTAATAGTTTCATCATCAATGATTCCATTGATGATAACTGACCACGAATCGTATCGTTCGCCGTCATTCATCACTACCGTTTGTGCTTTTTCAACTTGAGCGTAAACAAGTACTTTACATAGTTCGCGGCGAACGTGTAGAGTCAAATCAGCAAATGCCTGAGGAAGAAAATCGAAATCGATATAATTGAGCCAAATATAACTTACTGGAAAGTGATGAAGAAATTCTAAGATTGCTTCGATATCGTCATCAGTTCGTTCATTGGCTTCTTTTGTCAACACTTCTCGTATGTGATCATGGATTGGAAATGAATGCTGGAGAAGACGACGCTTAGCTCTGACGAACGCAAAACAAATTCTTATCTTCTTACTTCGGATGATCCTTCTGATTCGTCATCAGTTTCATTATTTATCATTAGACAGTCATCACCATTTGTCGATGATTGCATGATATCCGAGCCTGAATATGCACTTGATGTATCACTTGCACGCGAATGCGAACTACGTATCATCGACGAATGGATATCATTCGAATTGGTGACTGTTATAGAACGCTTGAAATGAGAAAAAAAGAGAATATATACGTGTGTGTGTGTGTGTTCGAGTAAAATGAAATGATTTGATTACTTGTCGAATACGTGAACTTTTCTTTCGATTTAGTGTCATTGTTCGAAGTTGATCTTCGTCATCAATAATAGATTGATCTTGTTCTTGATGTTCAATTCTCATTAATGATTCTTTTGTTTCCACGGATGGATAATCAATCTTAAAGAGACGGGAAGATTAAAACTTGCAAAGAATCAATTACTTACAACAAGTAGTTCGGATGGTTCGAGGATAACACATTCATTTAGTCGATAGGGATTCGCCGGAGTTCGTTTACCGAAACTAGCAATTCAAATATATTATTCCGCCATCAAACAAAACTATGTTACCTGGCACGTGGTAGATACATCGTTGACTCGATAAAAACGGAGCCGGATAACAGTATATACCAACAAGTATTTAAATCGCCACGACTAAAAGTCAAATCAGAGAGTTGCACATGCACTCTTCGAGAATATATTCGCTCATCTCACAAGATTAATCTGAAACTAGTTTGATCTATCTCGTAGAAATCATTCTCATCGTTCTGATGTAACAGCTCAATGTGAATGTCTATCAACTGGAATATCTCTCATTGGTGCTGGAGACGTAGATGATTGACCATGATCGTCAGCCAAGAAAAGAATACGAACTATGCAAACATACAATGATGATGAATAGATGTATGTGTGTATGTATCTACGGATCTATGTAGTGTCACTATCAGCGAGTAGACATAACAAACTTAAAAGAATGTTGTCATTCAATATAAAGAAAAGGGATCAATATAAATATTGTAGAGAGAATAATTATTGGAAAAAAAGACGAACCTGAATAGAACGTGATGTGTATTATGGATTTCATAACGAATTGTTTTGCACAAATTACGAATATGTGATTCTCGAAGCGTTGATAAAGCTTCCAAATGTTTGAGATGAGTGTTAATAATCGTTAAATCCTATGAAAAAAGAAGAGAAGAAAAAAGGTACGAAAATTCACTTCCTATTTGACACCCTCGAAGAAAAGAAAGAAAAATGAGAGAGAAGTGAAAATGACTGCCTGTAAAAAAAGTGTGGTCTTTTCTTTTTAAATTGAACTCGTGAAGCCGGACAAGAAGAACAACTGACCTCTATGATAAAGGAAAAAGTGAAGTAGAGGAGAAAGAAAGGAGAAAAGAGAATCTGTACCTTTCAACGTAGTTGTATGGACAACGGATGAAAGTGTATGTCAATGTGTGTGTATGTATGTATGTATGTATGTATACTCATTCGGGCAACTTGATTTCACCCCCACTTCTCTTTTCTTTTCTTTCCTTACTCTCTTTCTTCAATGTGTGTGTGTGTGCGTGTGCGTATGTATATATGTATGTATATGTCCCAAGTTCGATGATTAACCATATAGTTGTCTATACTCAATGAAAGTTGGTAATCATCTCGGATGGTGGTGTTGTCAATCATAAGAGTAGAATAAAAGAGAACAGCTAGTTATAGATTTGCAGGGGCTATGATGAATGAGCAGTTGTTTTTGTCCTTCTTCCTTATATTACTGAAATGATGTTCTCATGACGAAAATCGTCCAAATTCTCTAACTAGACAATGAAAAAAAAAGGACAAACGGAAATTCATTCTCTTTCTTTAAATATTTACATTCTACTGGTCTATATGTCCTCAGGTGCCAAATAGGAGTGTACAGATGAATAGAATTTCAATCTATTGGTTCAATTTAAAGGAAAAAGAGTAAGAAGATACTCTCTAAAATATCGAATTCATGCTGGTGACAAGTCGAAATAGAAATAAACAGACAAACCTGAACAGTTCGATCCGATGGAATCTTGACAACACTCTGCCGAAATGCTAAATCAGCACCATACATTGGTGACGAGAGTTTCTTATTTGCATACATCATTTCTGCGGGTACTATAGTTGTCGGGATGTCATATTCTTGGTTTGTTTGAATGGAATGAAGGTCAAGAACTAAATATCATATCTAGAAGTAGGAAAAGATTATGTCTGTATAATCAACAACTATCAATTGCTTGGCAAAATACATCGAAATAATTGATACCAACGAATCTCAGTCGATTGTGCTGAAAAGAAAACATCGAGCAAGATGAGGCTTGTCGACATTTCATTACGATTTCGTATTTGATAATACGAAACAAAAACGCATTAGTTGTTCGTTCGAACACGAGAAACAAATTTCTCGCAGTAATTGCATACTTATTGAATATCAGTTCAAAACAACGAAGTTCATTTTATCCTCGCCAATAATTATCATATACAGCAGAACCTCTCTAATGTGAACATAATCGGAACTGTCTCCAATCGTTTGAGATAGGCGAGGTGATCAGTTAGAAGAGGATTAATGAAAAAACTCCGCAAGTAAAATAGTTGGTTGTGATTTTTTCTTCATTCTACAGACACTTATTCAGATTAAAACTGTATAGACATTCATAATTCAAGAAAATGGTTTATCATTTCGAAAGGTTCGAGTTCGAGATTTACCATGCTGATGCAGGTTTCATTTACTTTTCCTTCCAAGAAGAGATCTCGACGAGAAGATATGTGAATAAATCACACAACTTACAGACTTAGCACATCCATCTGTACAAACGATTCATTCTCTCCCTCTTTCTCTCTTTACACCAATTGAACGACAAGCCAATCAGATGGACCTTGTTTGGCAATGACATAGATGGCGCCACTGGCACATATATAGTTGGAACCGGAGAATTAAAGCGTTCGTAGGTAGAATTGCGGAGGGATCAGTTAGGAGACATTCAAATTCTCTCGGGGATCGGTGGGTGTTCAGTGATAGATGTTTTACTGTACGTTATTTTATCTTCTTTATATACAATTAAAAAACAAAAAGTAATACTATATGTCTCGTTAGGATGAAAAATTACCGAAGGTTAACAGAAGTGGGACGTTGGAGGAAGGTGAGGTTTGAGAAGTAGTAGGTGATGGAGCTAGGACAACATTCATTGCTGTTGTTTTCAAAGAAGAGTTCAAATCAGTTGAAGTTGGAATTGATTGCTGCGAAGGATCTAGATGAAAAAAGCATGACAATGGAACAGCGACTGTGGCCGATGTAGGTAGAGGTATGGTCGTTCCGTTGACTGGTTTGATCTCTCCGGATAATTTTGACTTCGTACGCTTGATTGGACGGATCTCTGATGGGATATTATCTAATTGAAGTAGAGAGATGTATAAATACTATATAACAACGAAGTATACCTTGCGTGCTTCCACTTGTTCGTTTTTTCTGCTGTCTATCCTCAACAGGTCGATCATCAGTCGTCGAACAACTTTCAGCAATCGTTTCGTCTTTTTCTAAACACGTCTGAATCAATGCCTTTCCAGATTCGCTTGTGATCATCGGCTGCAGTTTTGGAGTTGCATATGTATAAACATGACCTGAAGACATTTCGTTAGAAATGAGCAAAACTCTTTCAATTGGTCATACCTGTTTCGGAAGCTACAAGAAGCATTACTTCAGTACCGGTTAATGTTGCTAATTCGTAAGCTTTTTTCATAATACCCGTTTTCCGTTTCGAAAATGTTGTATATCGTCGAACTTTATCGTCGATATAGGCCATTTTGATTTTCACGCGACCCAAAGTTTTCTTTGTTTTCTTTTGTTTCATTGAATTGTCCATCAGTTCACTATCATCATCGTCATCGTCATCAATAAACTCTTCGTTATCATCAGTTGATGATATTGTCTGAAAAGATTTCGGTTCCATCTGACTATTTGCCTGTTCGGAGCAGAACGACGATGATGACATCACTGTTTTGATTTTGTAGTCGTATGTTAATTCTAGTGAGAAAGAGAAAATCTGACGAATACAGAAGTTTTTGGCATAATGAATCATACATATACAAATATCAAAGCAAAGATATTTGATATCTGACCGTGGATTGGTGGAAACAAGTCAACGATAACCAGAGACGCGATTCCTCGTGGAGCAATGACATCTGTAGCAGAAATTGTAGTTAACATAGAATTCACATAAGTTGGGGAATATGATTTTGTCGCAAAATAGATTTAAAAATAGATTTAAAAAGAGACGAATAATTGATAGCAAAATTCGAAGACACATATCTTATACTAACTGAATCTAGTATGAAAAACCTACCCGTCTAGAAGTCCGACAGTATGGTGGTATACACATATTCTGGCATAGCGGTGCTAGCGGTATAAGATTGTAATCATATAAGAATATAGTGATATCTATAGTATCAAGCTTGGAAGTTGAAAATAGTTACTCCCTGTGACCTCTGAATACCTCTCACGCCACTATACCACCATATCCATATCCCTGTATCATTACGTCCTTATACGGCTGTACGGCATATAGATATAGCTATACACAATACAGTACACAGATAAAGAATGGGGAAAATTGATTGAATGAGATAAGTGCAATTTGTTTCATCTCTGTTAATGCTTCGACTGATAGACACTAGATATTTGGGATCGTTTGAATGAGCTTGTATTTATCGCGAAGTAGCCTTTTTGCCGGCTTTGCAGCTAAAATATTGACACTGATTTGAATTTGTCGCAAAATCAAATTTCCCATTAACTCGGAATTCATGGATTTTTCATCTTAAGTGGTGTTGACTACCGATCACTCCATACCCACAACTACTCTCGCCATTTCGAGTAGTGTTTACTACGGGCTGTCCGATATCGACAAATCTAGGTATCCGGCCTACCAGCACAGCAACCGCCATTCTGCACGTCTTTTTAAGCTAATTTTTTAGCTACAGCGAAAAAGAAAGCTTTCTCCATCGGATCCAAGAGTTGGATTGCTCATTGTGAGTTTGATTCCTATGATAAACTGCGAAAATAGACTTTTCATCATGATCGTCATCTCTTGACTGATTTTTTTGGGCCTATGCATGCTACACTGCAAAATTAAGTTTTTTCTAAATACTTTTCTTTGTCACTCATGTGAGAACTACAAGATGGGTAGATAGATCATGTATGCAATGTGATCAGGTGGGTTTTATCGATATGATTTTGATCTGTACTCTGCTCAATGCACTAATATTTGTATTAAAAAAATGATTTTTCTCTGATGTGATTCGAGCAATCCAGAAGTTAAACACTTTGTGGCGCATTGTTTGAAAAAGCAAACTATCATCGTTTTTCGAACAGAGTGTAAATGAATATTTTATTTCGATTTTCTGCCAAAAATTCTGTATTCCCGTGCGGTGCCGCTACGAAGTTTGATCAAGAGAAGAAATCAAATTAGACTCGATTATATTCTGTTAATATTCTAATATGAATGCAAACAAACAAAAACACGACTTACGCCGGAGATATATTTTACTCCCTTCCTGCAAGAACTGCAATTTAAATCCAGTCACCTGAAAGGTATACAAATTACTTCATAATCATCCCTATTGAATAAATATAAATAGCATTGAATTGTATTGTTAGTTCCTGACAATCGCCCCAATTAGATAATTTACATATATGCAATACTGATTTCACCCTCGCGCAGATTTCAGGATCCAGTCTTCTCCGAAAACTTTGCTGAAGAATGGTTCATTTCTAAATATGTCATCAAGCAACGACACATCGGTTGTTGCTTCTAGTGCCATCATCGTGGCACTCAATCTCATTAAAGAACGTTTTACTGGCAATCTTCCATTAATTTTTCTTATTCTTGGTTCAATTGGCTTTCTTGGAAATACTTTTACATTTCTCCAACGTAACCTTCGATCGAATACATTCTGCATCTATTCATTATGCGGTTCAGTCGTGGATGTAATCAATCTGTATACCAATCTTTTAATGGCCTATATTGCTAAGGATAGCAATGCATTGTCCAACATAACTAGCCGCACTGAATGCAAAACAAAGTTGTTTTTAGCTGTATTTTTGCCTCAATTATCGATGAATTTACTAGTTACATCGCTTATTGACCGTTTTAGTTGTACATGTAGTTTAACATCGCCAATACGCCGCATGCGGCAATTAAAAATGGTGCCATATTTAGTGGCACTTACAATCCTGATCAGTGGCGTCATGTCACTTTATTCCCCGGTTTTCTATGATTATGTACTAAATTCTGGGTGCGTCGTTACAGATACGTTATCGAATGGTATTTTGTATACTATCCTTCATGGTTTCATAACGCCAATAGTTATGTTTGTCTTCGCTTGGTTAACATATCGAAATGTTCGACAAAGTCGTCAAAGAGTAGTAAGTATCCGCAATTTGCATATTTTTTCCTGGAAGTTGTTTTTTCATTTTTGAAGACAGTAGCTAACACTTCAGCTACTACCAATCGATCTCGCCATCAGTTTATCAGCACAGTGGTTACTCAAGTATGCGTTACAAGCTTCCTTACTCTACAATGGATTGGCGTATATCTTTACTGGATTGTTACTAGAAATGCCAATAAAACTGCCGATCAATGGGCGATTTTTTATTTCACTTTTTCACTGTCCAATAACCTGTATTATCTAATTAATGTCAAATCGTTCTACTTGTCCACATTAACATCACGTCTTTTTCGCCAAGCGCTAATTAGAGGCTTATTCAAAAACGTAGGTATATCAACGATCCAAACTGTGACTGCTGCACGAGGACAAACTATGTTTAACACTATTCAATAAAACACAATTAGAGAAACTGTATTAAACTATATACTAGTCAAACATTTCTCTTTTTTTTGACGTTGTTTGTCTCATACGTTGCATTACCTGATCTCAGGAAACTTTTAAATAAAAAAGAGCCGAATGACTTACCTTACATTATATGATATCTATGAGTGAAATTCAAAAGAATATGATTGAGTAGTATTTAGACCAATTGTGCGATACTTCATTTGAGATCACTTGTGACTCATTCGACAAGCCATGTCATCAACGATCGAGTATTTATAGTTATATACATCTTGAGCGTATTTACTTCAGATGTTTTAGCAATGGTTTTGAAATTACGTGAACTTCTCATTAAACAAGTTGCAATTCATCTTCCGTACTTTTCCTATGATTCGTGTCAATGTTTAACAGCAGATCAACGCGAACGTGTGCTCCGATGGCTCGTTTCACACGATTATCTTTCGCCGACTGTAGCTCCATACATAACCAAGAATCTCCTTTCAATTCCGTTGTATTCTCTCGAGTTTTATAAATGTGATCAATTAACGAATGACATGCTTATTGAAATCGGCCGAGCCAGTCATTTCAGCCGATTGAAATCACTTATTATCCACCAATGCAGTCAAGTACAAGGTAAACTAATGTTCTCGAACGGTTCAGTTGTAGTCGTTTCTATATAGATTCAGGGGTGCGTGCTATAACCAAAGGACAGTTATCGTTGGAGTATGTGGCTTTGAGGAAATTGGCTAATTTGACGGATGTCGGTCTCGATGGAATCCATTCAGCGTTTCTTAAAGAAATCGATTTTCGTTGGAATGAAAAAATTCAAGATCATGGAATATTTACGATTGTTTCAAATAATCTTAATCTACGTTCGATTCGTCTAGTTAACTGTCATAGATTAACCGGACAATCTGTCAATCATATCGCTCAAAACCTCGCGGAAAAACTGGTTTGTTGTTCACCGAAAGCTTCAGCTTAGTTTTTTTCTTCGTTTATCCATAGGAAGTGTTGGATGTTGAAGGTTTGAAAACGTTAGATGCCGAAGTGTTTGTACATCTAGTTGATTACTGTCCCAATATTCGAAGGTAAAAGCTTTCCTTCATCGAAAGTCAATCAGTAAAAACCAAATGATCCTTACCGCTTTCTAGTTTAAATTTATTCGGTATAATTAATCTCGACGCTGACGGCTTATTCACAGTAAAATACTCGTTGACTTCTCGTTACACCTAAGTTCATTTTCTTTCAGTTATTTGTTCGATCAACACGCATGATGCAACTAAATTTATCCTACACGACATGCTTTCTTCAAGAACCCGTTGCCGACTATTTGTGCTGTTTACCATTGTCTCTGGTGGACATATGCCTGTCGGGTACACAAGTTTATAGTACGCACATTCTCGTTCGTGCGTTGACGCGATTGAAAAATATAGAACACCTTCGATTGAATGGTCTAGCGACGATCTCGGACGATGCCATAGAAAAAGTTTGTTTATATAGGTGAATACGAAAATATCTTGAAGGGTATTTTAGATTCTTGCGGTTATTGGAGGTCGATTGAAAACATTAGAAATGAATGGTTATATAACTGTTGGATCGTTAACTGATCGTAGTGTGGAGCATATTGTTCGTTATTGTACGTCCCTAGAACATTTATCATTGAATCTGCTGAGTTTCACATCCACGCTTGATTCATTGTATGAACTATTCAGTTCGACAGGACGTGCGTCGAAGTTACACACCATCTCCTTGAGTTCATTTCGAAACGTAGGCTTTTTGAAATATGCTAATGATTTGTTATATTTTTGATTTAGATCAATGAGCGTGTCCTATGGAGCTTGGCGGAAAATTGTTTAAATGTGACATTGCTCGAACTTTCTGGCATTCCTTGTGTAAATGATGCATTGATATCTTCGTTAAAACATTGTAGAAAGTTATCTCATTTGAATATCAAAGGATGCAAACAAGTAAAATGAACTTTTCCTATTCGGTTTGGCGAAGAAACGCACTTTAATTTAGATAACCGATCTATCGATATGTGATCTTCTTGGCGTATGTCGATTTGTTTCACTCGTGCTTTCGGGTTGTTATCAATTAACTGATAAATCAATCTTAGCTTTGGCTCACACTCAACCATTCCTCGAAGAAATCTACATTTCAGGTTGTACTAGAATATCTCCCGCAGCAGTACGGTTCCTTCAAGACAATACCATTCGACGTTTGTATATTGATCATAAAATACCGAATGCATTGCCAGATGCTATGATGGCGCGAAATCTTGATACAGGATTATTCGAACAGGTGTAATACACACGACAAAATGAGTTTTGGCTGATCTATTTTTTATATTTGTTTATGTATGATTTCGATAATGTTCAGTATGCCGAGTGAACTGTGTTTTTCAATGACATGAGATTTATTTTTGTTTAATCACTTTTTTTTACTCACAACAGTTTAAATATTCATCGTTTGAAATAAAACTTGGAGCCGTTATGTATTGCTATGACTCGCGGATATACTCCAAAGTTCAATTTTACTGAGAATGCTTACTACAATTAGAAAAGTGAACTATAAATTTGATGAGTAGAAAAAAAATCATTGATTAATATCATATGTTTATAGTATACAAATTACTGTCATTGCCTTTTTCCATCGAAGGTTTTTTTCTCCTAGTTTAAACAAAAGAGAAAATAGTCAGCACCTTGAGGAATCTGCTCGTGAAGGTGAAATGACGCGTGTCATCGATAAAAGTAGACAAGAAAAAACATTGTAAGAAGAAAAATGATGTTCAGTACTGTGTTGTATCACTCATTACTTAGTAGCTAAATAAGAACATGTTGTCAGCAGCAGCAGCGGCGAATTCAGCCGCCGGTGGCGATTCATCGATGCCGGGCAATTACGAACCATTTCTAGGAGGACCACCACGTAGCAGGCCACTATCAAATCCTGCCATGCATCCTAGGAAAACACCCATACCACAGTTAAATGTCCCTCGACCGACCGCTGTACCACCGATAAGTGGTTTACCAACACGAGCACCATTTGCACGTCTTCCTCCAGCGCCCGAACTGCGAATGAGAGGTCCACGTGTTAGACCACTCGATCGTCCTATCAGAGTTCGGCGACATCGACGCCGACCATTAACACCAGAGATTGTGGTGGAACGTCGATCTCACCATCATTCGTCTTGTGGCCGACGCCGTGTGATTACAGTTCCACTCGATTGTCGTCCAACACTCGGCTTACGTGGGCCACCAAGTCGAGTACTAGAAATTGAACGTGTTCGATGTTTTCGTTCTCGCAGATGTCGTTCGCCCTGTTACGACTACGAGTATGATGATCATGATTATTCAGCTCCATCTCTTCCATCACCAGTGCAACAGCCACCTCCTCAGCCACAGCCAATAACATTTATTGCTAATCCAATTCCAAATCCTTGTTTATCATTTTCCAATCACACGAACGTTGCAGCTACGTCAGCACTACTTAGTAATCTAACCCCAGAAATACTTCAAAGTTTACCGAAGCAAACAGTGCGCTTGAATCCTATACATCTTCCAGGTAGCCGCGCTGATGCCAATACCGAGCTTCACACAGTCAGATTCCCCACAGAAATAATTAATCCAATCACCGGAGCTCTTTCTATCATTCAAGCAAATCCTTCCGCGAATGTTGTCGGTATTGCAAGTATTCCTAATAACGTTACAGCTACAATAATTAATAGTGCACCAGTGGTACCTGCCAGACCGCCATTATTGTCGTCAACGACTGCCAATCCTACCATGGAACGATTTCGTGAACTCTTTCAACGTTTGAGTCTTCCGAGAACACAACCAATGGGACCAACAGCAGTACCGAGAATATCTGGATTCAATCCAACAAACAACACAGTGCCTAATTCACCGACTAATCTACCACCGGTCAATTCATTAAATGAAAATCGCAATCCATCTATCGGCAATCGCCTTGTAAATTCCGCAAGTAATGAGTCGTATCGAGCACCAAGTATTTCACCTTATCGTACGACAACTTTTACACCGTCGAGATCCGTAAACAACACGTCGTATCGTCCAATAAATAGCACACTCCCTGATTCATCCAATGTTGGCCCGTATCGTCCAGCAAATATCACACCTTACAATCGAACAAGCACAAACCAATATTTGAGTGCCAGTCGGCCGGGACAGTCATCTTTTACATCAGGAGCAACTCCATATGCTTCTACTGCTTCCATAACACCCACCAACTCGTTCACATCTCCTCCTGATCCAACTAAAAATGATTCGAATTATCAAGATCTACACTCATCTTCACCGTCATTACCCGTAAGTTCGTTTCAACCCACTCATTCGATGCCAAAATCAATTCTTCGCAACGGCCCATCAGCCAATCTTTCGAGCACTAACAACACACGTTCAAGCTCACCTAACACTTTCCCTGCGAACGAGACTCTTCAGAAAACAACACGATTTGCGTAGATTCAATGTTTTCCTAAAAAATAACTGCGAACTTTTCCTTCCAGTATGCATGCAGACTATGAAAGCGAATCCGTGAAGTCATCATTTGACTTTTTAATACAAGAATATTTCAAAAATATAATCATGTGCATTTTACTCCCTTCCATTATTCACATAGCCACGAGTACGATTCGATCGTTTCGTTGCTTGCCTCATCTGATATTATTAGTTGACCTTGTGTGCAAGACCAACTAGCTATTCAAATATGAAATATACTCGTTTTTATGCAGCAAATATTTTCGTTGCTCTTCGAATGATATCAATCGCACAACGATAAGATCGATTTGAATTTCGTTGTTTTTTGTTTTCACTAATGCATATTTTCTTCCACACAGATGTGCGATGACATCGAAACAACCAGAATTTATTTCTTTGTTTTTGCTCATTTTACACTTTGCTTCTTCTATTGAGAGAAGTGAGATTCCGACGAACGTATCAATATTAATAATCATCATTCAAAAACATATTGAAACGACAGCAATTGCTCTTTGATGGCAGTTCGAAGGAGTTTTTCGCCGAGTATGAAGGCGAAACTATATCATTCCGATGGTTATTCTCTCAAAAATTGCCTAAACTATGATTTCGAAATACAACAAACGCCACCACTATCATTACAGCAATATGCTCGATCGATCGCTCCTATTCCTGGTGCTGACCCATGGGTCTACACATATAAACGGAAATATTCCATACCAACTTACTCTCTCAAGCCATATAAAGATATGAAATCTAAGCCGCATGAATCTATTTGGCACCCAGTTAGTCCATATAGAGAAAAGCCACCCACATCACTAAGCCCGGAAAAACGCTGGCAAAGATCTGTACGTGAACCTATTTGGCAGCCGAGCAGTACTATTCAATACAAATCAGTTCCTTATTTCGATCCGCCTGCTTTGCGATGGTCATTTGAACAAATTTTGAAGTCTCTACCGAATCTTCAAGCGGACACGTTCGATCCTTCGAAAACCATTTTAATATCCAAGAAAAGGAACATTTGAAGGTATTTTCACGCTTATGACTCATAATTTCTTTTCAATATAAACATTATCCAATTTCGAACAGCAAAATCTGATTAGTAAATGTCATCAAATATATACAATACATCTCACGAGACGGAGTAAACCCTTTGCTCATCGACTATTATTAGCTTTGTATAGAGGAAATGAAATGCCTCCAGTCACATCTAATAAAGTAATAAAAATCCGAAGAATATTTATATTGGCCTAAAATAACCATTCTCTTTCAATGACACATCGAAAAAATCTTTCATTTAATCAACATGATCGCAGACGAATATGCACGGTTGTCATGATAAGTATGTCTGTCTGTTCACATCGATATCTCAAATAACAATGACGAGAGAAGAGAATTGTAAGCAAGTAATCAAACTTATTTTTGTTATCTTTTCATCTCGTTTGTCATTGTCAATCGATGAAGAGGCTTGTTTCGATTTCGAGTAACAACAATGTTTGCTTCTCTCTCTCTCTCCCTCTCGTCGCGCTCTTATTTGATTAATCCAAGCAGCCAGACGCGAAATGGAATAAGATTCTTTTTTAAAAGACACTCGAATTCCTATCCAAATCATTCCATAAATGGTGATTAGCACTACCACTATTCTCCTTTTACATCAATTATTAATGTTCTAAGTTAAATGAATACTATTCTTTGTGCATGCGT